AATTAAGTCGGAGCCTGTGACGGAGTCTTCATTTCGAAGTATTCCTAATAACAGCACGGATGCAGTTGCTTTGAGTGTAGCAGGTGAAGGGCAAACTGCGAATACTTCAATGATTTTGCCCGTATGGATATCGACTAAGGAGAACCCTGATTGTGAAAAACTTGTGTATGCGCTTCTTGACTCCCAAAGCGATACCACATTTGTTGATCAAGAAATAAGTAATTTCCTTAAAGCACAGTCAAGTCCAGTAAAACTGAAACTAACTACTATGCTTGGTAAGGATACCATTGTACAAAGTGAGAGAGTATTAGGGCTACAAGTGCGAGGGTATGAGTTTGGTGATTTTGTAGATCTTCCTCCTGCTTATACCAGAGATTATATCCCTGTGAATCGTCAGAATATTCCTACTTGTGAAGTAGCAAAAAATTGGAATCATCTATCAAGTATTGTGGATAAAGTTCCACCATTAAAGGATTGTGAGATTGGTTTATTAATAGGGTACAACTGCCCTCGGTCTATGGCTCCTCGAGAGGTGATCGTTGGGAAGAAGGACGAACCTTTTGCTGTACGAACTGATTTGGGATGGAGTATCGTTGGACGTTCATCTCCACGTCTTGATTTGCCAAAGGAGAGTAGTTTATGTCATCGCCTTGCGGCCAAGGAACTTCCTCCTGTCACTCCTGCTGACGTAATTCGCGTTCTTGAAACTGACTTTAAAGATATTAGTGAAGAAGGTATGAAGGTATCACAAGATGACATTCTCTTCATTAATAAGTTGAAAGAAGTCATTCATAAAAATGTGCATGGGCATTATGAGATGCCATTACCTTTTAAAGAAAGGCCTATTCTACCAAATAACAAACAATTGGCTGTAGTTAGGCTTAACCATCTCAAAAGAAGGTTGGCGAAGGATGAAAGATATAAGGAACAGTATAAGGAGTTCATGAGCGAGATCATTCAAAGAGGGGATGCGGAAGAGGTGATTGATAACGGAAAAGGAGGAGAAACATGGTATTTGCCTCATCACGGTGTCATTAGTCCGAAAAAGCCCAATAAGTTGCGAGTCGTGTTTGATTGTTCAGCAAGGTTTAACGGTTATTCATTGAACGATCACTTACTTCAAGGGCCTGACTTGATTAATAGTTTGATTGGCATTCTAATGAGATTTCGGCAACATCCTGTTGCGCTTATGTGTGATGTAGAGAAAATGTATCACCAATTTCATGTGAATGAATCTGACCGAGATTATCTTCGATTCCTTTGGTGGAAGGATGGAAAATTCAATCAGAATCCTCTTGAGTTTCGTATGAAGGTCCATATTTTTGGAGCCGCCTCTTCTTCAGGGTGCGCAAATTTTGGCTTGAAGCACATCACAAATGAGAACAGTCATCTATATCCTCTAGGTTCAGAATTTGTATTGAAGAATTTCTATGTAGATGATGGAGTTACTAGTGTGAAAGACGCAGAGATGGCAGTTAAGGTTGTTGATGAAGCAAGGAAGCTTTGTGCAATGGGTGGTTTGCGATTGCATAAATTCATGTCGAATGATGACACCGTCTTGAACGATATTCCTATGTCTGAGCTTGCATCTGATGCTAAGGAATTGGAGTTTGCATCTGAGTTGCCATTGGAAAGAGCTCTTGGAATACAGTGGCAAAGAAATTTGGATTGTTTCAAGTTTAATGTCAAATTGCAACAACAACCTGCCACTCGTCGTGGAATATTATCCACCATTGCATCCATATACGATCCATTAGGATTTATAGCTCCTATTCTATTTAATGGAAAGAAAATTTTGCAGGAGATATGCAAGCGTGGTGCTGGATGGGATGATTTTTTGTCAGAGGAAGTTCAGCTACGGTGGGAGCAATGGAAGCAAGATCTTATCAACTTGCAAGAAATAAACATACCAAGAACATATGTACCTAACGATTTTGGTACTATTGTTAAGGTAGAGTTGCATCACTTCTCAGATGCTAGCACTTCCGGGTATGGCCAATGCTCTTATTTGAGATTTTGCAATGAAGATGGAGATGTGCACTGTGCTTTGGTTATGGGAAGATCAAGAGTATCACCTCTGAAGGTCGTCACAATCCCCAGACTAGAATTGACAGCTGCAGTCATTTCTGTTGAAGTAAGCAATGTGCTTAAAAGAGAGCTTGATTATGTTGATGTGGAGGAATTATTTTGGACCGATTCAAAAGCAGTGTTAGGATACATAAGGAATGAAGCTCGTAAGTTTCATACTTTTGTGGCAAATCGTGTACAGAGAATACAGCTTAGCACAACCCCACAACAATGGAGGTATGTCCCTTCTGAAGAAAATCCTGCTGATCATGCCTCGAGAGGATTAAATGTTCAACAATTGCTGTCGTCAATCTGGTTTTCTGGCCCAATGTTCTTATGGAAGAAAAACTTACCAAATCCAGAAGACCCAAAGGTAGAGATCTCCTTAGAGGATCCAGAAGTGAAGTTCGCACAAGTCTTTAAGACTGAAGGCACTGACGAAGTGAATTTGATTGATCGTATAGCTAAATTTTCTTCGTGGTCACGAGCAATTAGGGCTATTGCTCGACTTATGAGAAGAGCTTGCAAAGATAAATCAAATCACCTGAGCACTACATCTGAACGACAAAGGGCTGAATTGCATATTGTTAAATGCTTGCAAAGTCATGCTTATAAAGGTGAGTTGGGGAGGCTGGAGAAGGGAATGGATGTTTCGCCCCAATCTCAACTGTATCCTCTTGGTTCATTCATTGATGAAAATGGAGTGCTTAAGGTGGGAGGTCGACTTCGTCACTCAGACTGTTTAGAGTCTTTAAAATATCCTGTCATTATTCCAAAAAATCACTCCGTTACCAAAATGATCATTGCACATTGTCATGAAAAGATCAAACATCAAGGAAAGGGATTTACCATTAATGAAATTAGGTCTTGTGGATATTGGATTCCAGGGATTGGTAGAGCTGTGGCTTCGTATATCAAAGGATGTGTTACATGTAGAAAACTTAGAAGATCCACAGAGGTGCAGAAAATGGCTGATTTGCCATCAGAGCGAGTAATTCCATCACCTCCATTCAAGTATACCGGTATGGATTGTTTCGGACCACTCTTTGTCAAACAGGGAAGAAGTGTGTGCAAGGGGTATGGCCTAATCTTAACTTGTTTGTGCTCGCGCTCTGTGCATATTGAAATGCTCACGGACATGTCGACGGATTCCTTTATTAATGCATTACGCTGTTTTATTGCCATCAGGGGTGCTGTGCAGCAAATTCGATCTGATCAAGGAACAAACTTCGTTGGTGCAAAAAATGAATTCAAAAGGGCACTTGAAGAAATTGACGCAGAGAGATTGAGAGTATTCTTATCTGAAAGACAATGTGACTTTGTGATGAATGCGCCACATGCTAGCCATGCTGGTGGAGTATGGGAGCGTCAGATCAGAACTGTGAAATCAGTTTTAAATTCCATACTCTCACTTCATTCAGCGCGATTGAATGATTCTTCTTTGCGAACCTTTCTCTATGAAACTATGGCGATAGTAAATAGTAGACCTCTCACTGTTGATTGTTTAACTGATCCTGACAGTTTGAGACCAATCACTCCAAATCATCTACTTACGTTGAAGTCAACAGTTGCTTTACCCCCTCCAGGCAATTTTAAGGATGATGAATATGCTCGCAAAAGGTGGAGACAAGTGCAACATTTATTGGAGCAATTCTGGAGTCGCTGGCGCAAAGAATATCTTGCAAATCTAGCAGTCAGACAAAAATGGCACGTTCCTAAGAGAAATATTCAGATTGGTGATATTGTTATTGTGAAAGATGATGATTTGCCGAGAAATCAGTGGAGATTGGGTAGAGTAAAGGAGGTTACTGTTAGTACCGACGGATTGGTCAGAAAAGCAAAAATATGTCTAGGGGATTCAAAACTAGATACGAAAGGCAAACGTCTTGGCAAGCCCTCAGTAATTGAAAGACCTATACAAAAACTTGTGCTGTTGCTAGAGTTCAACTAGTATCCCAATGTTATACTATTTTTTTGGGTGTAAAAATTGGTGCTTTGCTTAGACTGAGTTTTCAAATTCTGTGAGTGCTAGAGTGTTTGTGTGGAAATCATTTATGACTTATATGTATTGTATGATTTGGTGGGAGTGTAAAGAAACTTGAAATAATGTGTTACTTTGTTTATGATTTTGAATTTATTTATTTCTTTATTTTTTATGTTTTGTTGTATTTTGTATACGGGTTGATTGTTTGAATGAATTACGTTGTTTGGGGACTTTGATTATGACGTCAAAATTGCGGAGTTTACCGGATGTATAAATTGCGTGTAGGAGTGAATGAAAACGATGGAACGCTAGGAAAAACACGGTAAAAGGGGTACATGTATACGGTAGCTTCACGGGTTCCTCCTTCATGAGTTATAGCTCCTGGTTTGATGGAAAAATAAGGTAATTTGGTTTATTTGTTTATCGTTTAATTGTTGATGTTGACTTAGCGTTAATTTTCGGGATTTATTTGTATTTGTTGTTTGTTTATTTTCTCTCTAGTTCTTACGGTGATTCACGAATGAATAATGTGAACAAATTCTATGAAGTGTGACCAATAAACTAATCGTGAACATCAGTGGAAGACTTAGTCATCTTTTAACCAGGACGCAACACAACGTTCCTTTGGCTTAAACCCTATTGTTTTAGATCTGTTTTACATCTTGTCTTGTCGAGATAAAAATAAAGAGGCTTTATTTTTTTTATTTTTTTTATTGCAAAATTGTCCGCACATTTCTGGGAATTACCACCACAAAATCAAGTCATTTTTATGGCAAATAATCACAAAACAAAGTGAAAAACTAGGGGGTCGGAATAAATTGGTAATTTTTTGGAGCTTTGGTTTTGCCGCCTTTTTGAGTGAATGTAAATGTTTTTAAAAACAAACGTAATTTCGTCCATTTTGAGATTTTTTTTTTTTTTTTTTCCATTCTCCATTTTCTCCACACAGTCAAAAGGACCTGGAGAACCTGAAGGCTGAGGTACAGAGACGGCAGCTGATGCAGGATTCTGGGAAAATCCAGGAACAGCAGGGCAGTCATTTAGAGCTCGATGACAAGCTGCCTGTGGATGATTAACAAAACCCCAAACCAACAGACCTTCTCCAGATGAGGAGGACACCATACAGCAGCCATCTGTTTCAACCTGTGGACCCGGCCACTGAGCTGTCTAATCTAACCAATTCAATTTGAGCATAACAGGGAGAGGGGGGAGGACCAGCAGCAGCCGACTAAATAAAAGTGTACAGAGAGTAGTTTATAGCTGTAAAGAAAAACGAAAGCAGATGTTTGTTTGTTTTTTCCCCTACACGTGCAATCCACTAACAAACCTCTCCCAGAGGAAGAAAAAAGAAAGTAAACCAAGCACTTCCTCTGAGAGTTTGCACCGAAGAGGATGGAGACGACCAAGGATGACCATGACATTTTATACCAGAGCCTTATCCATCCATCAATCATCTCCATCTCTAACCTTCTCATCTGAGCCCAGGATAAACCCCAATCCGTCCCAAACCGACCCACGAGTGTAGAAAGATCCGAAAAAAAACAAAACACGCACCTCCTTATCTGAAAACTCAGGTGATTTCTACACTGCGCACCAGATGAAAGACGTTCACCGTTCAGTTCAGCAACAGAGAGAAGGGAGATGGACATATATGAGTTATGGGCTTAAGAATGTATATTGTTAATGGTCTAGTCTAAAAAGCGAATGCTAGCATTGTTATTTCTATGCTCTGCCTTTAGACCGGATCGATGGGACTTTACAGATGCGTGTTCTCAAACCAATCATTTTAGATCGGTGGCGTCTGTAAAAACGAAGAATCTTTTTTGTAAAAGTCCACTAGAAGCCATTAGTACTTTCATGCGAACGTTGATTTGAGCCATGTATGTTTTATAGAAATGCATCGGGGGTTAGACGGATAATTGATTCATTTTGATCGAATACTGATTTGAAATGTCCAGCTTGAATTAGTGACTGTTGTGTTGAATCTTATTTTCCACTTTAAAAGTGTGTGCGTGTGTTTCTGTATGTGTGTTTGTCTGTCTCATGCTAGCGCAGAAACGAATTCAGAGGATTCCTCCAAAGCTGCTGCAACAGAGTAATATTGTGATGATATTTTTATACGTACATCGTTAATGGACTCGATGGTGAAAAATGTGCTACAGATATCAAAGGTTCTCGAGATCGAAATCCATATACAAGTAATTTAGCACAACATTCAGGAACTTGAGATTCCTCCCTAGCAGTATTTATTGCACTTTTCCAGTGCGTGGTTTCATATTGAACCACGAAGTGAGAAAAAAGATGGGCTGCTTTGATGTAACATACCAAAAAAAAGAGAAATGATGATTAAGGGTGTGTTTGCTTGTATACATGCTTTGTGTGTGTGTCCTGCAAATGTCAAAATGTTGCTGTGCTCAAACTGTGTATGAAGCAATATGCTGGAACTAAGTGCACCTTGGATTATGCACATGGATGCAAGAAAACTGCTAGCCTGGTTGTATTTCCCTATAAACGACAAAGTAAACTTGTTTAAAAACTATATATGGTGGGTAATTGATATTTATGAGCAAGAATATATAATTGTGTGTGAGATTTGTGCCTATTTAAGCTTATATAAGGTCCGAGAACTGTATTTCTTTCCATATCTGCTTAATCTTTTCTTTTGGAGTCAGAAATCGTTGGAGGTTGGAGAGAAGAATTGAATGTCTACTTCAATACCCTTAGTTGCCACATGGGGGTGCTGTAGTCAGTATATTAACACTAAAGGACATAACTTGATTTTAATGTATTAAATTGGAATTGATTTCAAAATAAGTGCTAGAATTTAAACTTGGGTTCAATAGATTTGCTAATAATCGATTATTAGGAATCCTCATATGATGATGATGGTGGTGGGTTAAAGCTGAGTTGGTAACAGATGCATTGCAAGTTCAGTGTCAAACAAGCATGACCTTTGAACTGAAAGGTTAATAAGAAGATCCTGTCTTTAGTGTCCTTGCACCAGGCACTTAGCCTCAGGTTGTTGTTTTTTTTCTCTGAGCTGTAGTGTTTAAAAATAACAAGAAGCCAATCTCTGCAGTCAACAATGTTAACTATGACCTCAGTCGAATATATTCAAGCTTCCATAGTTACATCTTTCATAGTGAACAATCCAGTGGATTCAAGCAGTGTTTCCAATTTAACCGCAAAGGTCATTTTCATAATAATACGATTCACCAAATAGTGATGTGTTCCTGTTATTTAGCAAAGCAGCAAGATTTTAATTAATAACTGCTTGCATGATGAACCAATTCGATGTGGTGTAGATGTTTAGGACTTTTTTTATTTTTAAAGAAATGTTGGGGATTATTGACAAGATGCAGATACAAAATAGTATTTGTTTTTATTCATCTATGCTTTTTGAGTTTAAATCTTTAAACTGAAACATCTCAAATGTCTTCCTGGTTATAATTTGCATAATATACTTCAAACACAGTTTAATCACAAATGTTAGTGTTTCTTTTTCTGTGTGAAAGCCTGCATATAATACAAAGAACCTGATTTTTTTTTTGTAATTGGCTTGTTTAAATGTTATTTCAGCAAATGATTTGCTGTGGAACAGTAATTCTTTTAAATATATATTACAATTAATACACCACCATCCTCAGTCTGCAACACATTTGGTTAAACATTTGGCTAAAAAAAACCTGCATGGACCCATTCTAAACTAGAATGTCATCACAAAAATATGATTTTATTTCATTTAGAGCATTTGGTGTCTAAAAAACACCTTGTATTTTCGTTGTTCATTTACAAAAACAGTATCTGTGGATTTCCTTTCTCTTTTTTTGTTGCTGATTTGTTTTCCCTGTTTTTGACCTGAAATATGTTTTATCATGCCCTTTTGCGTGTCTTTTGGTTTCTTTAATGAGTGGAATTCAATGTCAATTCTTTTAAATAACAATCTAATTATTTTTTTGGTTGAGTATCTTTTTGTATTAAAATGAATAAAGAAACTAGAAAACAACATGCGATTATATCTTCATCCACATTGTCTCTAAACACAACATTCTCTTTGTTTTCAATATTATCTACATTGTTTAAATGAATTAAGGATTCTATTTACACTACACATGAACTATTGAAGGCTGTTACAGTTATAGACACGTAAATATTTAGCTTTAGCTGACTGAAAGTTACATTTGAAGCATGAATCATCGTAATATAGCTGGTTTATGCACCTGACATATGACACAGGTGCTGTTTTCACGCCAGCTGGGACTCGAACTCACAAATAAAGGCCACGCGCTCTGAATTGAACCCAGATTAAAATCACTGATGTGGGTCATGTGAGAAATAATGTTTCACGCTCCATTTTTGTAGTTATCTGCGATACTGCGTGAATATTTATTCAAGTAACGCCCACTGTATTTGAAAGGAGGGTGTGAGATTGAAGGGCGTGCGCGCTCCCGCCTGCAGAAGTCAGCCGATGCGCGCCCCCGTGCCGTGTAGAGGCGAATGCGGCGCTGCAAGGAGGCAGACCCCGAGACTTCAGCCCCCCTTTTCAACACGAAAATAACACTTTTGTCGTCCATTATCAGCTTCTTCTGAGGAATAACTTTCAGCGCTGACTCTGTATGGTAAGAACGGGCCATTTATGTCTCTATTTGCAATTAGGTTTGATCACAATCGCCGGCTGAAGAGCTGTTGTGGCTGTAATTTTTGCGCCTCCTTTTCCTCGGTGTCTCAAAATGGCGGACGCGGCCGTTGGAGGAATACTTCAGCTTCTGTTTTTCTTCACTACTCCTAAATATAGCGACAGCTTCGTGAGTGTACATTTCGCATTACACTTCACAAATACAAATTAATTTAGCGCAAGTTTGAAGTTTTAGCGGCTTGTTAGAGATGTGTTCTGCGGATCAACACGTCGTTTCATCAATGTCATGTTAGCTAGCAACAGTTGGCTAACGCCCGTGTCAACACATACATCTGTTTTAATACCTCTGTTTGTTACATTTAAAGTTGACCTTGCCATATTTTATCATGTGTGTGTACATACAGGAAATTCAATTCGTTAACAACGTTTGCTACGTACCGGTTGAAAATAAAGGAGGTGACGAGGGCTGTGTTTCAAAACCTAGCGAACTTCCTATCTAGACAGCATGTTTGCGGTTAGATATGATGGATAACCATTAACCTTTTAAAACATGACGTGTTCAGTATTCAAACGAGCTTCAAAATTGTCGTACATCTCGGTTAGTCTCTCAAAACATGACGAGACACTTCAACTGGAAATCCCTTTTTTCCGTTTACCTCAAGGTTATGGGGTAAAACGGCGTGTTTGACAATTGTTAAGCTCGTTTGTATATAAAATATGGCATCATTAGAGAACATTTGGACTAGTCGGACTTGTACCTATGTTGAGCTGGTCTCAAATGTAGGTCAGCTGATTCCCCCCTCTCTTCATGCAGACCCGATATTTCTATGTGCAGTGGGACACTGAGGTGATCTGTCATGTTGTGCTGCGATTATCACTCCTGCAGTATTTTTTTGGCCAAATTTTCACGTCATTGCTTAAGGCAGCAATAAATGTGCTAATTTAACTACTGCTTGCTCGCTGCATAACTAACAATATCTTGCATGCAAATGTAAACATGCTGAAGAGGCAAGTGTGTACATGTTGCTTATCAAGGTGTGAATGGTTTGAATAAATGTGGTAACGTGTGTTTTTGGATGTACTGTAATCGTTATGGTTTATGATATTGTGCCAGGTTTGCTGTACACTCCCTTAAGTAGTTTGACAGCTGTCTTGGATGGTTACGGATTGCTTGTTAAAGTTTGAATTAAGTTCACTTAACAATGTCATGCGTGCGTAATCGTTTTCTCACAAAGGCGGCATTTATTTAATGAATATTTCATGAATCAAAATATTGTTATTTAATAGTTTTTCTGTAATTGATTGTGTTAGATATATTTCAAAATTTACAATGTTTATATTGCACATTTCGTGTTATTTCTTTACAGTGCATCTGGAAAGAATTCATAGCGCTTCACTTTTTCCACACTTTTTGTCATGTCACATCTTTATTTCAAAATGGATTAAATTAATTTGTTTCCTAAAAATTCTACACACAATACCCCAATCTTTTTTTTAATTGTTGCAAATTTATTAAAAATAATAAAGGCAAGGCAAGTTTATTTAAAAATAAATAAAAATAATAAACCTGAAAAATCACATGTACATAAGTATTCCCAGCCTTTCAATACTTTGTTGATGCACCTTTGGCAGCAATTACAGCCTCAAGTCTTTTTGAATATGATGCCACAAGCTTGGCACAACTGGCCTTGGGAGTGTTTGCCCATTCCTCTTTGCAGTACCTCTCAAGCTCTATCAGGTGGGATGGGAAGTGACGGTGTATGTACAGCCATTTTCAGATCTCTCCAGACATGTTCAATAGGATTTAGGACTGGGGTCTAGCTGGGCCACTCAAGAACATTCACCGAGTTGTTGTGAAGCCACTCCATTGATATTTTGGCGCTGTGCTTTGGGTCATTGTCCTGCTGGAAGATGAACCGTTGCCCCTGTCTAAAGTCAAAAGCACTCTGATGCAGGTTTTCATTCAGGATGTCTCTGTACATGACTGCATTCATCTTTCCCTCTATCCTGACTAGTCTTCCTGTTAGGGCTGCTGACCAAAATCATAATCACAATTATTTTGGTCATAATTGTAATCACGATTATTCAAAACGATTATCAGTTGAAGTCAAAATTATTCGCCCTTCTGTGAATTTATTGTTATATATAAATTTCCCAAATTATGTTTAACAGAGGATTTTTTTACAGTATTTCCTATAATATTTTTTCTTCTGGAGAAAGGCTAATTTGTTTTATTTCAGCTAGAATAAAAGCAGGTTTAAATATTTTGAAACCCATTTTAATAGCTCGATATTATTAGCCCCCTCAAGTAATATATATTTTTGGTTGTCTGCAGAAGAAACTACTGTTATACAATGACTTGCCTACTTACCCTAATTAAGCCTTTGAATGTCACTTTAAGCTGAATACTAGTATCTTGAAAAAATCTAGTACAATATAATGTACTGTCATCATACCAAAAATAAAATAAAATAAGTTGAGAAAAGAATGTTGAGAAAATAAATGAATTTAATAAGTTTTGGAATAAGTCCAGATGCGCTGTAGATGATCAATAAATCCTTGCAAGTTAATCCACTGAAAGTTTGTTTGGTAACCTTCAGTTAAAGTTCCTCTGCGTCTGCATTTGAGTGGCGATTCTTGTTTGTTGGCGTCAGTTTGACTGTTTCAGCCACAATATTCTTAAAGGTCCTATGAAGTTAACAGACTGAAACTAGCGTGTAAAATTTAACTTATATCTCTTAGCTAGTGTGCTTCAAAACAGTGAAAAAATTAGCATTAAGAAAATATTAAAGTGATCTTAACATCCAAAGCTTTGTCACTTCTGCCTAAATGGGTAAAAAATTTTTCATGGCACCTCATACTTCAGTTTCTCATCAATAGTATCTGACATGCCTCGCCCCCTTCAAGACGCTTCTCTCTTTTAAATTTTTTTATATTTAATGTGCTTTATCCCAATCACTCTCTTTGGCATAGCTGTTATAAACGTAATGCTATTGGCTGTTTTTTAAAAGCGTAGAAGCTACTCTGTTCCACCCTCTCTTCATTTTTCAGTTGAGATTAAATCAAACATTGAATAAAAATGCGCATCTCAAAGCAGTTTGCGGGACATTTGACCACACACCTTTAATTGTCACTACGAGGGAATGATTTACGAAAAGAAAGCCCCGTCACCTTCTCAATATTCTTTTTCAGTTGGAAGTACATCAATGTACTTAAGCATAAGTCTCAGCAACTTCTGGTTCATGTGGACTTTTTTTCGTTTTGTGACGCGATTTCAAGATTCTTTGATAATATATTTAAAAAGTTAAATATAAAGTTCAAATACATAGCCCAGTGATTCAGTCATTTAAATAGTTATCTGTTAATTGTATTTTATCTATTTGTTATTATCTGGATAATTCTGCAGATTGTGGTTTTTTTAATATTTTGCCATAGGAATTAAGCAAAATGTTTTAAATGGCCTTCAGGATTTGAAAAATGTTTCTGTTTTACTGTTTTGTATTTAACGTATCAAGTTAAACACAGCAAAACATATTTAAACTATTTTGTTTAGACGGTGCAAAAGTTTCTGAATTTAATATTTTAGAATTAAAATAGTTGTTCTCTGTATGTGTTGGCTGTTTTTTTTCATGCAGAAGAATCTGAAAAATGTTTATTAATAATTGTCAACCAATATATCGGCTGTTGGCCTCTAAATATAAATAGTTATTGGTTATCAATATTCAGTTCAACAAAGTTTCAGCTTTGTTGTGCATCAGTGTATTTTTAAAGGTAAAAAAAAATTATATGTTAACTTTTGTATTAATGAAAAAGTTGGGCTTTTTAAATTTATTTATAACTTAAATAGCAAAAAAAAAATTAATCCTGACTGTGAGAGGCCTAATAGAGAAATCTGTTATTTCTAATGTAAATAGTTTTTATAACATAAGTGTCTTTTTCTCACTTTTTAAAATACATTTTATGCAGTCTTAATAAAAAAAGGTGATTTTTGTACTTTCCTCCAAATAAAGTAAACTTAGATTCACTTTGTGAAGTACTCTGTGAACTCTAGTTAGTGACATTGAGCTCACGTCTGGTCATCATTTTAACTCTGTGCCATTCAGATGAGCTGCTACTTGACAATCCCTTAGTGGAAATGTACTGTGATCCACTAATAATGGCAATGCCATCAAGGGAATGGGAGAAGTGATTACTAGTCCAGACTTAATTGGCCGGCTGTCTTTACCAGCTTGCACAATTTCACAAAGAGGGATGTTTCCTTTTGCCATCTGTCTTAAAATAAAGAAACTATTGAAATGACAGACTTACAGGACTGTTTTATGGGCTCAAGATGCATGGGAAATGCTGTTAACAGATTAGACCTCCTCATGCACCATTTGTGTGTATTAGTCTAGTGTTGGAATACTCCTCAGTATATTGCTACTAAGTAAACGGCGAAAAAAAGCAGATGCCAGATTTCTTTGTTTCATTCTTTGTCTTAATCACATGCTCTTGTAAGTGCGCAGCATTGATCTTTTTATAGCAGTTACAGATAATCACTGGACTGTTTTGCCTGGTTGATGGGCTTGGCTGCACACTGACGGTTGCTAGAGCCCCTTGGCCAAAAACGAAAGGATAATTGTGAGTTTGTGCAATCCCAACAGGCAGTTGGTAATGACTGGGATAGAGGTGGCGTGGCACAAAGTACTGTTGCTGTGGGTTTGGTGAGCTCACTGAATGTGTGTCTGCAAAGAGGAGGTCATAATGTGTTTCAGTGCCTGTAGGGAACAGTAATTTGTTCACCATGGCAACTAAAAGCTCAGCTGTTTGATGTGTGAAATGTAGATTTCAAGATGGTGGTCAGTTTGCTTTATCAATAACATTTTGTCATTTGTTTTTGAAGCAGTCAGGTGATGTACTGAAATGGCCTGGATTATAGGGTATGGGGCAGTTTGGTATAAAGTATGACTTAACCCTGTGCTTTTGAGAACTGCTTGCATGCTGACGGGCCAGATTTTTAGACTTTTCTTTTTGTTAGCACTTTAAAAATGAATGTGCTTTGATCTCACAAAATGCAAACCAGTCACAAAACCACTTCAGTGAACATATACAGACTCCACAATATTAACAGCAATAAGCTAGATTTTGTTTAGTTTTCCCTAAGTGTTTTTTTTTTACCCTAAGAAGGCT